AGTTAGTTCTATTATTGCTTGATAAATTTGTGTTTAAAATGACCGTTTAATGTTGCTAATGTAATAAATTTGTTAGCAACAACTTTTCATATTGCAAGTATAACACCGACACCTACAATACCTTTGGAAATCGAAGTCCATGATATAATTGTTAATATTCTAAACAATTTTCAAAATACTCATTCGGTGTTGTTATTGAAACATCATTATGAGCTTGATTTTGACGATCCATTAAAATCACATAAACCACAAATTGTAGAATATATTCTAAATATAGAAGTAGAAGATAATTTTGAACCTGAAGAATGCATTGTTGATGATGAAGGAGGGACGGTCGATTTCAATTATAAAAGAAAAGCTGTGGAGTTTCGGAAAAGCGCAAAAAAGACCAGTCGACATTTATCTACTGTACAGGAACGTTTTCGCAAGGTCAAATCTATACACCAACTATGCAGGTGGGAGGCGATTGTAAACAGAGGTGGAACAAATGCAGATAAACTTGCATTTATTACGCAATATGTTTTGCAAAAGTTTAAAAAAGCTGTTGAAAGATCTATAATTCATGATATGAATTTAAGATTTTGGGCCTTGGAGGTAAAAGATCAAGTGGACCTACCCGAATTCAAGACAAATAAATGGTGAATTTGAAATTTAAGAGAGTACACAGAATTGTTTTCCGTAAGATAACAACATTCAGGACACAATTAACACTACAAGATATTGACAACCTACAAGATGTCGCAAAATCGTTTGTTTCAAATGTAAAGTCTAACATCCCAGCTATTGGAGTTGAAGAAATTTATAATGCAGACAAGAGTGGCTTTAATCTTGAACATTCTGGATGAAAATTGGCAAATATAGGACTGAAAAATGTTGAAGCACTGGTTCAATCGATATCTTCTACAACACATAGTTACATTATAATGCCGATTACTTCAGCAGACGGACGTCTTCTTTCACCACTGTATGTAGTTTTGAAAGAATCTACGGGAACATTTGGACACTAAGTGCTAGAAACCCTATTTCGTCCAATTAACATTTACATTGAAACTTCAAAATCAGGAAAACTAACATCTGAACATTTCAAGACTTGGTTCAGCGAAATCTATCTACCGAATACTAGCCGTAAAAGCATGCTTCCACTCGACTCGTGGACGGGACACTGCCCAAGCCAGCTAGAGCAGTTGATTCCACAAGATAAAAAAGTACAATTTGCAACCATTCCAAAGAAGACGACGAGTATCATTCAGCCTTTGGATGTATATGGTTTCCGGATTTGGAAAAATTTTGTGCGAACATTTTCGGATATTATAATTCTTTAAGAGATTGGTGTCAATTTGCACTCCCGTAATCAAATAATTAAATTGCAATCACTAACCCACAATCAGTTTTCTTCGCCTAGATTTAAAAATCTTTTTCAATATGCTTGGTATAAAAGCGGATATTTAGAAACACTGTTTCGATCGCGACAAGGAATCGTGGATGAGCAATGAACCGCCGGCAATGAGTCACGAAAAGGAAAAAACAAAGCGTCAGTGGTTTGGATCACAGATAATATATTTACACTAATTACATAAGATCGTCGTATGTACACGGCTTTCCGCGGACGTCGCGTCGCAGCAGCTCAAGTTTCAGTACGAAGAATTCGCGGTTACCGTAAAGATTCGCAGCTAGTACCGAGAACTCGAATTTGAAAACGCACGACACTGTCACGGATGAAATTTGTAGCAAAAAAACCGACACCGAGCGCGAGAGCCGGGGTTTTATACTCCGGTTGACAGGACGTGCTAGCGCGATCACTGGCAGCGCACGTGATCACGCGAACAGCTAACGCGGAAGCAGATCAGCTGTTTTCACCGAATTAACTCTCACCTTGGCCTAGATGTTTTCGGTTTACAAGTTGCGCGGGGCCAAGGACGGCGTACTGGCGATTTAGCGCGTGACTTAGTATTATCGCAAAAATTGAGCCTAGAATGACCCCGATTTGATGCGCGACGTTATGAATTTGGAACATTCCGTCCGCCTCGTCAGTGCGCTGACGAAATGATGTTGCTCCACAGAGTGTCGCTTTGCTGGGATGCCTCTTAATGGCTATTTACACAAAATGCATACAAAGGAAAAAAATTTTTGATTACGCTCTATGGTCTACATTCCGATTTTGACCCGCTTGTATTTATCGAATAGCAACGGAATGTTGGCATATTGGCGCTTCGCTTTAGCAAAGTGACGAGTTATATGCAAGGTATGCCGGCAAGGACGTGGCATGTAGTATAATGAAGGGGTCCCGTCGCTAGTCGTGACTTCTGGTGTTCCATGCTACACCTCGGCGTTGAGAGCTGCAGGGCCGCGATTTACGCGTCGATGTCCGAATCGGCTAGCGGCAGCAGGACAATTTTGTAGACGGGCCTTACGAGCGTGGTAGTAGCCGTTTTGAGGGTAACCACTCTTACCTGGCCGTCCTCTCTGGGGTGTGCCTCCACTACCCTGGCTAGTGGCCATTTGGTCGGTGGGACAAGTTCCTCCGAATGAGACATAAGTCCCCGTCCTTTACGTTTTCTTCCTTCTTGCACTACTTTGATCTAGAATTGAGGGTCTGCAAGTATTCGCGGGACCATCTATCCCAGAAATAGTCTCTCATTTTTTGCAGGAGTTGCCACCTCGATAGGCGGTTGGTTGGTTCTCCTGCGAGCGTTGGCTCCGGGATTGCGTTTAGCGCAGCACCCACGAGGAAGTGTCCCGGAGTGAGTGCCGTGAGGTCTTCAGGATCATCTGAAAGTGGAAGTAAAGGTCGCAAGTTGAGGCAAGCCTCAATTTGTGCCAGGAAAGTTGAGAGCTCCTCAAACGTGAGGGTAGCATCTCCGATAACTCTCCGCAGGTGATGCTTCGTTGACTTCACAGCCGCCTTTCATATCCCCCCGAAATGCGGCGCTGCGGGAGGATTGAAGTGCCATCGCACGCCCTCGGCCCCGAGGACGTTGGCGATATGGCGTTGTCGGGCTGCCTCGCGGAAGAGACTCTGCAACTGCGCGTCCGCTCCCACAAAGTTGGTCCCTTGATCACGCTATACAGCGTGATACAAAGGCCTCGTCGAGACACGAAGCGTTGGAAGGCGGCCAGGAACGCCTCGGTCGTGTAGTCCGAGACCACCTCCAAGTGCACGGCCCGAGTGCTTAGGCAAACGAAAATAGCCAGAAAGCCTTTGTGGGCTTTGTGGCCCCGACCCTTCGACGTCCTCAGCCATATAGGGCCTGCGTAGTCCACGCCGGTGTTGGCGAATGCCCGTGATATGCGCACTCGCGGAGACGATAGGTTGCCCATCAGTGAGCGCGGGGTCGCCGCCCGCCATCGCACGCACGGGAGGCAGCGGTAGATATGGTGCCTCACCGCCGCTCTCCCGCCCGGGATCCAAAAACGTTGACGCAGCGAGCCGAGTGTCAACTGCGTTCTATCGTGCAACATTCGTCGGTGGTAGGCATCCACCACGAGAGCGGTTAGGCGGGATTCTCGTGGCAGGATGATCGGGTGCCTCTCGTCACGACTCAGGATTGCACATTTGAGTCTCCCTCCGACCCTGAGCAGGCCATGCTCGTCGAGGAATGGACTCAATCGCAGAAGATTACTTCGCCTCGGCACTGCTTCTCCTCGTGTGATAGCCTTTAGTTCAGTCGCGAACCAGACGGATTGCACCACAGCAATCCATGTCTGCTCAGCCTCCTCGAGTTCCCCGGGTGACAGCGTGCCTGCAACAGAGCTTCCTTCCCCCCCCCTGTTGGCGCGCCCTGCGTTCAGCCATCTGCGACACCAGGCAGTGACTCGCAGCAAGCGTTGGAGCCCGGAAAACCGAAGCAAGAGCTCCGGATTGTCTTGCGCGACCGCGACGTGCGCCCGCACGCGCTGCTCCGGCGACTCCTCGTCCGGCTCTGGCGGGGGCGACTCGTTGATCCAGCGGCGATCTGCGACCCCAAGCCACGCTGATCCTCGCCACCACAGGGAGTGATGCACCAGGTCGCCCGGCGAGAGTCCACGTGACGCACAGTCAGCCGGGTTCTCCTCTCCGGGCACATAATGCCAGCGAGCGCCCGGCAATGCTCGCTGCACGTTGGCAACCTGGTTGGCCACATAGGTTGTCCACCTTGAAGGGTGGCCCCGTATCCACGCCAATGCCACCGTGGAGTCGGACCACAGATGAACGCGCTCCAAAGGCATGCCATGCAGTCTCGCCGCTCGCTCCGCGACGCGTGCCAGGAGCGACGCCGCGCACAACTCCAACCGCGGTAGCGAGACCTGTTGCAACGGCGCCATTCGCGTCTTGGCCTGCAGTAAAGACACCTGAATCTCTCCCTCATCGGTCTCAACCCGCAGGAAGAGCACCGCCGCGTAGGCCCGCTCCGAGGCATCGGCGAACCCGTGGAGCTCCATTCTGTCCTGTTGCCCCCCGTGTGGAGCCACCGGGGCACTCTCACTTGTTCTATTAGTGGAAGCTCCTGCCGAAAGCGCCGCCACGCTCGTTCTTCCTCCGCGGGCACGGGTTGACCCAGTCGATCCCTTATAGCCATAGAGACTGCATCGTGATCGCTCGTACGACCAGTGGCGCCAGCCAGCCCGGCGGGTTGTAGAGTCGCGCCGTCTCCGAGAGTACGACACGCTTCGTCACACTTGTCTGTTCATATGGCCGTACCCGATAGGCAAATGCGTCCTGCCGCGGGTGCCATTGTAAACCCAAGGTGAAATGGCTTATGTCAGACTCCCATTCCAACAGACCTTTCTGCCGGTAGCTCGCCGGGATCTCCCGCAACAACTCCTCGTTGTTAGCTGCCCACTTTCTCAACGGGAAGCCTCCCGCCATGCAGAGCTGCAACAGATCATCACGTAATTGCCTGACTTCAGCCACCGTATTGGCCCCCGTGAGGACGTCATCGACGTAGACGTCCCGCCGGAGCACCGTCGCCGCCTCGGGGAAGCGGCTTTCTTCATCGTCCGCCAGCTGCCGCAATGTTCTGATAGCAAGGTACGGCGCACAGGTGATGCCGTACGTGACCGTATTGAGCCGATATTCCCTGATCGGCTCAGCTGGATTCGCCCTCCAGTATGCGCTGAAGATCGCGGTCGTCCTCATGGATGAGTACCTGATGGTATATCTTTTCGATGTCCGTTGCCATGGCGAATCGGTGTAGCTGCCAGCGCGATAGTACATCCGCTAACGCTGGCAAGAGGTTCGGTCCCGTCAACAATACCTTATTGAGAGCGTCACCGGAGGCAACGCGTGCGGATCCGTTGAAGACGACTCGGATTTTTGCTACGTCTTCAGTCTTCTTGGTGACCTCATGGTGTGGCAAGTAGCAGATCCGTGAACGCTTCGCTTGTTCCGGTGGCGACGCAAGGGACATGTGCCGCAGTGTTTCGTACTCCTGCATGAAGTCGGAGTATAGGGTGTGGAAATCAGTATTGGAGGCGAATTTGCGCTCCATGCTGATCAGGGTGCGCAATGCCGCCCGCCGCGAGTCCTCCAGTGACGGCAGAATGGGTAGGGTAGGCAGGCGCACCATGTATCGCCCGCACGCAAGTCTGAGATGCGTGCGCGCAAAATGCTCCTCGCAACGGCGGTTCGCGTCAGTGAGTGAAACCACAGGTTGCGGCGGCTCCTCTTGTTCCCAGAAGGACCTTACCAGCGCGCTCAGGTCCTCGGCGACCGAGCATTGATGCGATAAGGCAGACCTCCGCGGCCCGGCGCCACACATCAATCCCGACAAAATCCAGCCCAGAGAAGTCCTTTGGGCGACTGGCGTGCCAGTTTTGCCCTTGCGGAGGTCATCCTTCACGATCTCTGCATACACGTCTGCGCCCAGCAGAATCTCGACTGAATCCGTTGCCCGAAAGTCCGGGTCCGCGAGTAACAAGTCCCTCACGTGTGGCCATGCTGTCGCGATTGATCCGACGCGCCCGCCATAAATCAATATGCGCGGCAATATAAACGCTGATACTCGGATTGTCTCACTGGTAGCACATGATGCAAGATCCATCGTGACCTTGCCTCGCGAAACGCCAGTCTTCTGCCCGCTGACACCGAATATGGCCGTGCGAGAGAGCGCAGAAGGCGCAATCGTTGCACGAGAGACTCCGTGACCAGCGAGATCTCAGAGCCTGAGTCGATCAGCGCGCGCGAGAACCGGAACGCCATACTTGTTGTTCACTGTGACCCTTGCAGTTGCCAGTAGGACGGCAGCTCGATCGCCTCTCGGGTGGCGAACGTGCAATGCGTTGGCTGCATCGATCTCATCGCTTCTCGCTGGTGTCCAGACATCGTGGATGGAGCTGTTTGCATACCGCGCGACTTCTGGTAATTGTGGAGACCTCCACACCTCACCTCGGGCACGATCGTAAAGGCGAGTACGCACCGCCGCGCGACGCGTCTCTCTCGTTTGGTGAACGAACGTAGGGTGACGGCGAGAGAGAGAATTGCACCGCCGAGCGACGCGTCTCTCCGTCGCGCGCGGCAGTGGCACGACCAGAGAGGATCCTGAGAGCGGCCATGCCCGCGATTTAGCTGTAACCGGAGATTGAGCTGGTTTCAGCGCCTCTATGTCCACAAAACGTGGACATTGAACTACGTAGCCAATGTCCACGATTTTGTCGGTTATGTCCACGATCTTTTGGTGGTGATCCGTGCTATGTCCACGGTTGTGTTCCGTGCTATGTGCAGGAATGCGAGTAGGTAAGATAGACAAGGACGGACATCAATCTCGGTCGTCCTTGTCTCACCACCAGCTAATAATAACACGGAGCGCGAGCGGCGAGTTTGTTGTCTCACAGACACCTCCCCTCTCTCCCGTCCCGTTTTTTGTCTCGCTGCGTTGCCGAAATT